CAAGCACACAGGTCTGTTCTTTCTATAAATGTCATATCGTGAAAAGAAATAAAAGGAAAGGTATGGTGCCTCTGAACACAACAACCATGCCTTTGAGTTCTACATTTAAAAAATCCCCTTGAGGAGGATGTAGAAAGGCAGGACATAAATGAAATATAAATGAAATCAAGAAATACATTTGAAGTGACACAAAAATGGCTTATTTAAAATACTGCTTGTCTGCAACAAAAACTTCCAGCAGGTCAGTTGCAGTCACTATAAATCTTGCCATGCAAAAATGAATACAAAGTTCCTCGACAGGCTATTTTAAGAGAGTTGGGCACCAGATCAGCCTTTGGCAACTGAGAATATGTAGGGCTACCATATCTGGGCCCCAGAAACCAATCAACTACTAGCTTCAGCAAACTTAAGAGGTTTCTGCTGCCATCTAATGATGGTTTAGATTTTTCCAGCCCAATTATGCCAGCTTTCTAATGGGGCAACCTTTAAAAATTGGCCTTCATTGTTCCTTCAAACAGCCCCTGACTTTGGCTAGAGGCAAGGTGAGGCAGGGCCTCCTGCTTTGAAAAAAATCTATGAACCCAGGTTGAGTCATTGAAATTCAGACAGCATACATGTTTTCCATTGTTATTGTTATTCTGCTGGCTCCAGCAACTTTCCTGTAAACCATATATGCCTCTCAGACTTGATGGTTGCATTTCCTCCACATGAAATAAAGAAAGGGGATAATGAAACAAAGACCTAGAAGAGCAGACAGCTTGAATTTTCACCAAAGGTAAAGTTCAGTGCAGGCAAAGAGGAAGGAAAGTTTCTGGTGGTTTGTAAACAATGAGTGGGATCCTTCCCTCTCCACCAAGAGTTCCCTCCATATTGAATAGAGACAACATGGAGACAGCATCTAGAAAGGATCCTGGAAGGGCAACACATTTCTCTCATTCCCCAACCTCCACTGCCTTTTGTCTTGCTTTTTGCATGTGTAAAAGGAGAGGGGGCTGTTACTGCAGCTGCTTGCAAAAGAAACAAAGAGAGGAAAAATCTCTGTATATCAAATGCACCTCCAGCTACTCAACCACGCAATGATCAAAATAAGAATCGATTTCTTCAATGCAAGGAGTTCAGTGGAAAGAATAAACACTAAAGAGTCCCAGTTTCCTACCACCACAAGGTTTCATGCTGAAATACACATATACCTCATTACTTGCAGGTACCTCAAACCTGTTTCGTGTGCTGGGAGAAAATAATTCTTTATAGTGCTATAAAGGGTGAGCTGATGGGAGTTCAATTATCTAAGGAAATGTATTTAGATAAGGAGTAAAACTTAGCAGAACTATTACCATTTTCAGGGTGGCAAGACTTTTCCAGGTTAATATTTTAAAATATGTTAAAAGCCTCACTTGCGTTGTCTGCACACCTCTGCCCTATCTTTCTATTATAAGAATGTTCAAAGGAAACGGCAGTGTAAATGTGCAAATTAAACCGGTGTGCCTTGAGGAAATTTAGTTTAATACCTATTCCCACATGAACATAAAATACAGAAAATATATGAGGGCCAAAAGGGAGCCGAGGAAGATTTTTTCCTAGATCAGTGAATCCCCACCATGATACCATTCAAATATACTAGGCAGTAACTCCAACCATTCTTACTAACAGGTATCGTAAAAGTGATTATATGCAGTTTGTCCTGTTCTTCATAAGTGTCATTTCTTGCAGAGGTTCTTGTGAGTTGCAGTCCAGACACTTCTGACCAATGCCAGTCCATTTTATTCTATCTAATCTGGAGCTGTGTTTGCCCTTAGCCACCATAATCTCTCAGCAGAGTGACCCACCATGGTTTCTGGAAACAAAAGTTGGGGTTTTCTGGTCCATTTGGAGCTACAATATAGGGGGAGGCTGGCTTAAATCATGGAGATAGGAATATGATAGCCTGCAATTAGACAGATTGGATGGATGGATGGATGGATGGATGGATGGATGGATGGATGGATGGATGGATGGATGGATGGATGGATGGATGGATGGATAGATAGATAGATAGATAGATAGATAGATAGATAGATAGATAGATAGATAGATAGATAGATAGATATAAAGTGTGTGTTGGCCTTGAGGAGAAATTCACTTGCTAGTCAGATTTTGCCATTCAAGAGTCAATTAGGGGCAGAACAGCCCTTCTCTCAGGACCATCTTAACCAGAGGCTCCACTTCCAGCTGCTTCCAGCAATTGGTCCCCTGAGGAGATTTGTTGGATGTCCTAAACCATCCCTCTCGTTTCTTGGAGAAGTTCTCTCTCTCTCTCTCTCTCTCACACACACACACACGTCGCAGTGGGGAGCTTCGATTTCCGCCTGTGATAGTGGCTCGCAGCAAATGGAAAGCGCAGATAACCGCCCCATTGCCTTCAAACTACACTCGCTGGCTACAGTTGCACCTAAGAATAACAACATACCTAATGGCCTCAGCGGCCCCGGGCTAAAAAAAAACAACCCCCCACAGTAGGCCCAGGGCGACATACCGTGTATACACACACACACACACACGAGAGCTGGACGGAATGTACGCGCGCTCAATCTCCAAGGGGCAGGACAAGGGGGGCACGGACAGCATTGCCCCGGGCCGAAAAAGGTTGCCCGCAACAACGGCGCGCCAACCGCACGTGTGTAACATAGCCGCGCACCATGCGTAGCTCCTACGCGGCCCACGTGTTCCTAACGCCGTCCCAATACAAACCAATCCTGTATGGTTGGCTTTGCCGCCCAGCCCGGCTGCATCTGCCGCTCGTCCAGCTCCCTCGCCTCTGTTCCAAAAGCAAGAAGCCTGTGTTACCGAGGCGGCGCAAGACGGTCGGAGGGGGAAGAAGAAAAAAAAAAAAAGCACCCGCCGTTTCTATCAAGGATGGCTGAGAAACCGCAGCAGGTTCCCGGTATTTCTTTGCCAAGGAAGAGAGGCAAAAAAAGAAAGGAGGAGCGCGAAAGCCAAGAAGGCGAGAGGAAGACAGACGCCGCCAGGCAATAAATTAACACAACGGTCTTCTCTGCTCAGCTTCTGCTTGGTTTTCTAATTGGTCTCGAGCGACGCGCGGGGGGAATTGGGTCGGAGGCAGGACGCCGCTCCAGTCCAGCTCGGAGGATTTAATTGTCCCTCCCGCCTCTCTTAACTAGAGGGAATCAAACGGGGTGTGTGTGTGTGTGTGGAGGAGAGAGAATGTGAGGGGAAGAAGTAGAGACACGACTCGCTGCTAAACCTCGCAAGCTTTTACGTTTACAATTAGAGGTCGCAACGAGCAATGTTGCCCTTGCTCGGGAGAGCTCTTTTCCGAGCCATCCAGGAAATACGGACGACGGCGATGGTTTGGACAAAGAAGCTAGTTTAAAAGGAGAAAATCTCAATCGCTAATGCTTTAAGGGTACGTCTCAAACTGGTCGGCCGCCTGACATAAAATGACATCCAAGCGAGCCCTTGCGAGCGAAGTGCAGTAGCAATTTTTGCCCGCGATAAGTGGCGGCGAACTGCAGCTGTGGCACGCGGGCCATTTTTTTTTTTTTAAAGGACAGCATTCTTCTAGGAAGGGGCGGAGCCGGCGGTGGACAGGCCCCCTTTCTACAGAGGACCCTTTGCTTTTCAAGTTGAAAGCCACTTTCTGAAAGTTCTTTATTCTTCCGCTCCCCGAAGTTGCTGTTAGAAAATCTCTCTCTTCCTCGCCGTCGGGAGGAAGAGCAGCGAAAGTCTGTATCTCTTTAGGGGAAGTCAAGGGAAAGGGAGAGAGAGAAGTTCTTCACCGCTACTATACTATACCATCCCTCGGCGTGCGGAAACTTTGCATCTGTGAGTGGAGGAGGAGGAGGAGGAGGAAAAGTCGCATCCACGAACTGGACAAAGCGAACGGAAGGGGTGGAAAGCCCGAGGTTCATTGAGCAAGGCGGCTTTGGGAAGCGCGATGCGGAGCGTTGCAGTCGAGCAAGATCTCCAGCTTGGAAGCTAAAAGAAGCCAAGAACTTTTCTGTTTTTTTTTTAATGGAATATAGGAAAAGACGCCCAAGAAGACTCGTCCTCACGTTGAATTAATTTCAACACCGGTGTTCCAGCAAAAAGCAGAGAGAGGAGAAATTAAAAAAAACCCAGCTTATAGGAAAGAAACTGAGAATTACCTTTCTCTCCCAGCTGCTGCATTTTTCCCTGAACCCCGCACACACCCACTCCCCTCCTCCTCGGCTTCCCTTGTTTGTTCCCGGGGTTTGCAAACCAGAGGCTTTTTAGTTAAGCGCCCCCCCCCCCCGAATCTGTCTTTCGCTGCCTCGGTCTCTTTCGAGTTGGCCCCAGTTTGCAGGCAGTTTGGGAAGCTGAAGCGTTCAGAGCGCCCCTGACGTTTCTTTCTGCACAAACGTGATTGGAAAGATCGGGGCGCCGCCGAAGGGGCAGAATCGCCGAAGTTTCTCTGGATTTGTTTCACCGCCTCTTCTTCCTAGCGACTTTTTCGTTTATTCGGTTAAGAACGCCACCCTTCATTCATTTCTCCCCCTCCCTCCCTCTCTCCGTGCATCTGGGCGTGAGTGAGGCTGTTTATTGTCTTCTCGGAGCTTGGGAAGAGGACGAGACCCCTGGCTTGCCTGCTCTTCCCCCCTCTACACACGCACACACTGCAAACACACCTTTCTTTCCCCCCCCCTTCCTCGCAACTCCGGGTCTGGGGAGGGGAAGCTGTTTCACTCGGTTCCGACTGCCTGTGTGCGCGTCTCTTCGGAGGAGAGTGCGAGCTTCCCGGGAAGCAGATTGACTGACTCGAGTTCGCCAGCCGGGCTGAGACGCCTCCGTGGCCGGCCCCCTGCTCTTCTCCGGAGCTCCATCCTTCCCCTGCTGCGAGGCCGCGGAAAGTGGTGTACCAAGACCAATTGGGATTTTTACGCTCTTCGCCTTTTTTTTTTTTAAACGGATCCACCATCTGTTTGGGTTGCCTTTGGGTCTGGCTTCTATTCTTCGCTGGCTATGAAGGTTCTGTCTTGAAGATGGAGACTCTCTGGCTTTTATTCTTGTCGCTGGTCCCGGTGTACATCAGGGGACAAGGGGTCTATGGTAAGAGGCATGGTAGTTTTCGTCTTCCGAGCAAATAAAAGGCTGAGCTTTTTCGGGCGAGGGGGGAAGGGAAGGAAGTAGGGATTGGAGAGCTGTGGTGTATTATCAGATCAAAGTTTTTGGGGTGTTTGTTTCCGGAAAGCACCTGCAGCAGAAGAAAGTAAATGGTCATGGGTAGAATATGGGAAGTTCCCGACGCAACCCCATCCAGCTACTTTGTAATAATCTCTTGCCGCGGCGACTTTACCGCTGTTCCTCTCCTCCAACCCCAGACCCTCCTATGATTTACGAGACTGGAGATGCTTTGCTTTTTTTAAAAAACCCTTGGAAAGCCTCCCCTGAGCGGCGCGAGGGGGAAAAAAAGAAAAAGAAGAAACAAGAAATTCGAAGCTGCGAGATTCCGTGCGGTGGAAACAAACCAACTTGTTGTTCCTAAACAGAAAAGGCGCCCTTTAAGAGCCGGTGGGCCGTTCGTGCGTCTCCAGCCTCTGCTGGTCTTTGGGAAGACAAAGCTGGCCGGTCCACCCGTTCGTTCGTTCGTTCGTTCGTTCGTTCGTTCGTTCGTTCCTTCCTTCCTTCCTTCCTTCCTTCCTTCCTTCCTTCCTTCCTTCCTTCCTTCCTTCCTTCCTTCCTTCCTTTCCTGTGCTTGTCCCCTTTTTGGATCGCCCATTCCCGTTACTAAAATGACCCGCTAACCCTTTTCCCTCTTCCTCCTTTGCCCAAATGGATTTACTTATATAGACACGCGTTTCGTTTCAAAAGAGGGTTGCTACGCCAGAGGACCTAGTGGGGGCAAACGGGTGTCCCTCCCCCCCACCATCAGCTCCTAAGATACCTTCCGATCTTGGGGGGGGGGGGGGGGAGGAAAACGAGGCTGGCTATGCCTGAAAGAAGGACCCGTTCGCTTTCTGCCCCGAGGCGGCGGGAGGTGTGATTCGTCGGGGGGAGGGGGCGGCTTGCCTCCGGCTCGCGAGAAAGGCGCCCCGTTCCAGTCGTCGCTGAGCTCTGGAGAATTTAAAATGAAGCGGGACGGAGAGAGCTCCGCAAAACAGCACAGCGCATGCACGGGCACTGTTGCTGCTGGGATCCCCCCCCCACTTTTCTTTTTTCCTTTTTTCTTTGCTACTCCCGGGAGTGGGGAGAGGAGCTTAGGGAGGGAGCTCCAGCGACGGGAAAGGCTGAAGGCTGGCGCCAGACAGGAGCGGGCGCGGTGTTGGGAATGAGCATTCCCGCCTCCACACCGAGCGTTAGCGGTTGGAGGGATGCTTCAAACGAAAGATTAAAAAGGCAATAAGGACTCTTTAGTACGGTAGTTCTCGTGAATTACGCTGTCTCCCCCACCACACACACACACTTTTCCTGCTACTGTTTTAAAAGATCCCCTTTTTATCGAGGATTGGGAAGGAGATCCGTTCCACAGATTTATTGAACCGGTTGTTATCCTGTTTGCAAAAGGATGCTCGTTCACACACCGGAACATCCAACTTGGCAGAAACAGCTGACATGCTCGTCAGGGGTACCCCTAGAAGAAGCACAAGATTATTTACCCCTTGGCAACGTAGAGGCAAGGCAGTGTGTGACACAAGCTTGCCTCCTTCAGATGCCAAGGATGGATTATTCAGTCCTGGCCTTTGTGTAGCGTGTGGTGAAGACTTCAGCTTCCTAAGGCATAACAACACTTTGCTCTTTTGCACAGCAGCCTTGTTTATCCATAGCTGTGAAATCAAGTTCTCCTCCCTGCAGGTAGAGAAGTTAAGGATCCTAAGCCTTATCTGGAACTTAATGGGGATCAGCCCGTGGTCAGCTGGTTTTCCAATGCTAATCTTTCCATTAAGGTTGTAGTTCCCCCCCAATACAGCTAAAGCCTTTATAGTCATTTTAATGATGCAGAAAAGGAAAATAAAAATAAAAGGGAATGGGTTATTCTACTCTCCGTCCACTGGGGCTACAATAGTCAATTTCAGTTATTTGCTTTCAATATTGTTTTGTTTGTCTTTTCTCCCCTCCTCCAATGCCTGATAAGAAGAAGGGAGAATATGGGGGAAAGATTAAAAACCTTGAGGGAAATTACAAGGCATGCCCCAGAGAACTGAGATGGGGTATGTAATGTCTTGGTTGCAAAAGAAATGTTGTGTGTGCAGGTTTTCACATCCCCATGGGTATTTTATATGCTTCCAGCCAAACTTTTTATTTTTAATTAGCTTGACTGTTGCAGTCCAAGCAGAACTAGTGGTCTGGTTTTCTATTCTCGGGCCTCTTCAGGGTCTTTTAAGGCTGCCATTCTTTATACTTGACTGTATTCTTTCAGACTTATTTCTGACTCTTACTGCTTAATGAATGTAGCTCCCTTTTCTCTTTCTTTTATTTCTAGACTTTTGTTTTTGCATCCCTCCCTATCGGTAGATGTTTAGCATAACAACTCTGGTATATTCAGATGGAGAAGGGGGGCAGAATGTGCAGAAAAATCAGAAAAAGATGCAGTACAGTACAGTTTATTATTTAATCAACAGAAGTTATTTGCTCCTTCAACTGTTATTTGTCTTCTCTATTTCTCTTTCCATGGCTTATGGAGAGAATAACCATTTAAATTTGCAACTGTATATTTAATTGTGGTTCAGATGAGTGGAATCAGTATTCCACAAACTTTCCATGGTCAACCATCTGCAGTTCCTTCTTTTTCTAAAGCAGTTTTTAGCCACTGCTTATTATTTTAGTTTCTGAAGAGGGAGATATTAATGTTTTGTGCAATGTTGAACTACAGCTTTTTGCTCTGGAAGGAAAATCTAATCTAGAATTAGAGAGTCCTGCCCTTTTCCTACTCCCCCCACAAAATTTGAGCTGTAGCTGTAGTTTTGAGCTGAATGTGATATGGGAATTTGATGTTCTTAGTGGTTGACCTTTGTGACCCTGGAAATTTTGTGAATTGTTACGCATCAGCATAACAATTGCATTACATTTGACACTATAATGGTTATAAATAAAAGAAGGCTAAGAAAGGGTCCTTGTACACCTTGTCACAAAAGCTGTAAATATAATCTACTTATCTAATGTAAGATTAAACCACACTAAACTAGATATTTTACCTATTGTGGACTTTCATAAAAGGTGGCTACCACATTTTATCAGAATGGATGGAGCGAACTAGATCTGTGCTAAGAGAGAAGCACTTGGACCGCAGGCTGAGAAGAACCTGAAGAAGCTAGCTATACAAACTGGTCTTTGACATGATGACCAAACAAAGTCTTAAGTCTTGATAATCTCCCTCTATTTTGTTAGATGATTCCATCCATTCATCCATTTTTACCAAAAAGACAAACTTAAGCTGGCTACCAAAAATTTGCACACACACTCTTTCCCTAACAGCTAAACGTAGCTGTGAAAGAGAACCTGCCAATGACTCTCTGGCTGTGGTTGTCTTCCATGTCCAAGTTCACATGTGCATTTGAAGCAGCTCATCACTCATGTTAACTTGTGTAATTTAATTCCTATCCTTTTTTTCAGCATAGGCTGCTTCCTGCTTTGTGGAGGTCACAGAATGCTGTTTTATGTGAAAAGAAGGTTAGCGCTGTAACCCTGAATAAAAGCTAAACAAAATCCCTTCTCAACTATAAGATAAACTGTTCTGCATGAATGACTTGCCATCTAATAGGGCTCCCATAGGAAGAGATTTAAAGTGGCAAATAAATCTGGGCCAGTTCTTCTGTTGAACAGTGTGTTGCAGTTTTGTTAGGCACCTGGATTTGGGTGTTGTGAATGGGCAATAAATCTAATGTATCTTTTATTGTGTTTTTTTACTCTGGGGAAGGGAAGCTCTGTTTGGCTTACTTGCCCCAAAATCTTGGGCTGACCTTAGGTATTCCGCATCTTAATTGGAGTGGGCACCATTTGTTATTCTGCGGCAGGCAACAAGATTTTGTCGGCTGACCCTGGTGGGTTACAGTTTTGATAAAAATGACTCCTGGGAGAGAAATAAATGAGTTAAATAAAAAAAAACCAAAAAACACCAGATAGAAAAAGCCGCTTTCCTCGTTTTCTCCCCATAACCTCTTATTTTGGATAGTTGAAACTTCTGTAATGTTTTTAAAGGCTGTGATTGACAAGGGTGGGTTGTATTTTAGAGGGAGAACTTTGTGATTTTGGATGAATTGGAGGGCTACACTTCTTGATCAGGAGGCGTTTGAAGCTCACTGGATTTTCATGCCAGTAATGGTTATCTGCCAGAACTAGATTGTACTGTGTTAGTGAAACAATACATAGTTGTCAACTCTAATTCTTTATTAGAAAAGTGGGAGTTATGAAAAGACCTTTGGAAACTTCCCTCATATTTCACTTGTCCATATGCATAAAGCAATAGATTGTTCAGCTGTGTAGCAAAATATCCTAAGCATCAGCTGAATTATACTGTATATACATATATTTAAATAATATAAGGACATTAAAATACCTATTTACTGTAAATTTAAACATGAAATAGGTATTGGAGATGAGTAGAAAGAAAGGGGATTTGGGAGAAAGGAAATACTGTATTTCCCCAGACAAATATCAAGATTGCAGATACATTTTATCTTGGAATTAATATGAAGTATATATGTATATATGAGGGGAAAATTGTATTTTAAATTCTCACAGAATAAATCTTGTGAGGAGAGGGTTTAGCTGCTTTGTTTGGAAGTATAGAAGCTGGACTGCTGTTTTATTTACCTTAGAAGGAGGATTTAACAAGCTTTGATAGGAGTGTTTTATTGCTAACATGGATCTGCTGACAGCCCAACTTTCTCTTAGTGCACTGAGGAAAAGGCTCAGCGGCTGACAGTTCCCCATCATTGTCCTCCTGCAAAAAGCAAATCTTCAAGGGACCTTCCAGGGAAAAAAAAAGAAGAAGAAGCCGAAGGGAGGAGCTTCAAAGGAACACATTCAGCTGCATCCTTTGTGAACAGTTAAACAGAAATCTTACAGGGGAAGCTGTACTTATTGTAGACTTGGAAAGCAGACAGAATGTG